TAACTTTATATGACATACTTTATATGACATATATATATATATATATATATATTATATATAATATAATATATATTATATATATATTTGGTATAGCTAAAGTGTCGAATTAGTTGTAAAAAAATGCAATAATTTTTTAACACGATCGAACCGATGATTTATCATTGTCGCGAACTACTTTTAAACGTAATCACTTTAATCTGAACTAATAGCGTTGACCTTACGAAGAGGTCGTCGATTTTTGTAATCAGTCATCGACATTCCGATGACTCGATACCACTGGCGATAATAATAATAAACCTCGATACCTTGATGATCCAAAAAATGACTAATCACTAAGTCAGGTCTACTGTTCTTGCAAGGAAAATAAGTTTCCGAAAAGTCATTAAAATTCCCAAAAAAAAAAAATCATTCAAGTTCAGTCCTAACGATGACATTCTATTTTCGAATTCGATATAAAATCTGGCGAAGGAAAAGAAAAAAAGAAAGCATAAATCACAATCTAGATAGCAGTAGCCATCAATCAGGACATTACAAAAGAAAAAGAAGGTTCGTATGGTGCCCTGCCAATCGCACAGGGTTTAAAGGTCACCGAGTTATTTCTTGATTGGACGTAAAAAGGGCACCCAAAAAAAAAAGAGAAGCAAAGGAAAGAAGAAAATTCATCCGAAGGGAAAGTAAAAATTTTTCCTGGAAAAGTCCTATAGTTACGTGTGAACGGAGCACGTGTATCCAAGCAGAAATACATAACTGATAACGTCGGCCATTGGTACCATTACTGCCCTCGTTAATGGCACAAAAGTTGTAGGTTTATTATTTTCGTACGAACGAGCTTGTCCCACGTCCTCTTGGTGTTCTTTCCAAAGAAAGAATGATGGTACGAGGGCAGTGGTGCAAACGGTGACGACGTGAAAAAGAGAAAATAAAGGAGACGGAAAATGAACTCTAAAATGAAAAAGCGTAGCGTTCCAGCGCAGCTTACGACTTCTTGTTAACGCGCCTGTGTAAACGGGCGTCTAATAATAGCGGTATAATCGGTAGCAAATAAGTCTTCGGTATTTTGCTGGAAAACGTTTATTATATATACACACGTATATATGTATATTCACGTGCGTGCAAAATATACAAATATATATATATATAAAGTTTGTATAAATCATTCTACGGTTATCCGAAACACGCGCAAGGTTATTAAATTAGTCAGATTCTCGCTACAGTCAGATCGATATACATATTAGGCGTGGAAATTAAATTTCGGGCTTTTTTGCATAAATTTTATTTTTCTTCAAAAAAGAAAAAAAATGAACGGGGTTGCATAGCTTTTAAAATAATTTCCATTACTTTTTTTTTTTACATATTTTCCCCATCTCTCGGGCGACTTGGTTTCGAAAAAAGAGTGTCCGCCCCCCCCCCCCCCC